TATGCATTTTGATAAGGAGCTGCCTGCCTCCACGCTAGTTCCCCTCTCAGAATGCTTCAGATGTCAGGAAAAGCTTATTCTGAGTTGATCATAGATCTGGTGCTGAGTTCACCAGCACAATCGAGCGTTTCTAGATGCCTTGGGATATCCTTGGGGTATTTAGTTCTCAACTAAAGCAGCATAGATTCTGCTTTCACCCTACAACTCCAGCCTCTTATTCCATACCTGTGCCTTTTTTTGAGGAAGGAACAGCTCGAGTCACTGGGGTTTGTCCCTTACAGGTGGTTTGTGAAGTGAAGGCAAAATTAGGCCTGTTCCCTGTGTCTGCTGCTGTGTTCTAACCTAAGAAGTAGCACCAGCATGCATGCAGGAGAAAGGGGCATTTTTCTGAAATACAAGAAATTTATCTCTTATCTCCACTTCTCCAGGACACCTCTGTGTTCCAACAAAAAGCATCTTTTAGTGAAGTTTGCTGGGCGGACCATTTCCTTCTTACTCGGGGCAATAGGAGGGGCTGTCCAGGAAAGAAAACTGAGTTGTAGTGTAAGATGTTAGAGAACACAGAGCCTGTGGCTCAGGGCTCTCCTTCAAGCCCCTCCCTTAACTGAAGAGGTTTCGGAAGAAGCCAACCCTCCACTGATACAACTGTATGTGCTCCTAATGTCAGCACTTTATGTAATGCACAGCAAAAAAAAAAAACCACCAAAAAAAACCTCAAACAAAAAAAATGGGGCGGGGGGTTGGGAGGAAAAGCTTTTGTCACTCTTCAGTGGTATTTAAGCTAATATCAAAGGGGTCAGTAACTGTCTTTCACAGAGATAATAACCTTGCAGCCCTCTCCAGCTGTGCTGTCAGCATGTGTCATTCTTTGCCTTGCTAATGCCTTTTCTGGATGCTCTTCTGTCACTTGGAAGAAAGACCCTGTCATCGTCTTCACTGAAGTGCTGCCCAGAGCTCTGCTACTCAGACTGAGCCCTGGCTTAGTGCTCCAGCATCCTCCAGGCAGCCCAGCAAACAGCACTGCCCCTTTGCTGCCCTTTATCTATGAGCAATACCCAGCCTCTGCCCCCTTCCTTTTCACATCCATTCCTCACAGCCCTCATCTCTCCCTGGCCAGTAAGTTCAGAGCCTTGTCTGGTGCCCAGAGCTGGGGCAGCGCTGCCCAGCTGTCCTGCTCCTCTCAATCCTCAACACATGGGTTTTTTTCCAGGGTCCTGGGGCGTGCTGAAAGGTCACCAAGGAGCACAGTTTGGGAAGCAAGGGTTCCTCCTATAGCTAGAGCTGGTATCATATAGCAAAGCGTGGTAACCCCAGCTGGAGAGCATCAAGTTCCTGGCTGTTGCTCTGCTGGTTCATGAATCTCAAGGCACCTTAGCCTCATCTGTGTCAGGAGTGCAGCCCAGGTCTCAGCCTGTATTGAGCTGTGTGTGCCTGTCTGGCCTGGATGTTTCTGGGCAGGGAGGAGGTGATGCATTTGGTAGATGTGCCTGGAGGAAGCTACCTGAGCTGCCATCCTCTGGGAAAGGAACTGGTGACTGCAAAGCTGCTCTATATCTGCACTGTAGGAACTTTCACCACTGCAACCCAAATCAGGTGCTGCTGTTGGCAGGCACCAGGCTCAGGGGACTGCCAGTCTGGTCCAAATCAGCAAATCCTCTGCTGCCCCAGTTTTCCTGTGTAGCTGAGCCTGCTGCTCAGTGTGTCTGGCTCCCTGGGAGAAAGGCAGGCACTGCATCACCCCACGTGCTAGCATTCAGCAATGTTTGCTCATACAGAGGGTGAACGGCCTTAGTTTACCCTGTGTTTGCTGGGGCTCAGGCACGCATTCAAGTTGTTACTGCATGGTCAGTTCACTCCGTGCAGCATTTTTGCGTTCCCTAAGCTGAGGGAGATGTAGCTGTCTATGAGCTTCCCAATTCATTCTTGCTTCTTGTCTGTTCTGTCACCTCCCAGGTCTGGAGCTACTGAAGAAATGGTGTGTCAAAGGCTACCACACTGGGACAGGGACGGATTTGGCCCAGATGGTGAGCATAGCTGTGGATAAGCCAGGGAAAGGTTGCTGTGAAGAGAGGGGTAGAGAGTCTGTGAATCTGTGGGTTGTCTGATTCAGGAGCTCTTTCTGCTTTTTCCACTTTCTGTGCCTCCTGCCCTATCTGTTCGTGCTGTTCTTCCCTCTCTGCTAAGGCCTCCAGCAGTCTAGAAAAACCCACGTTTCTCTGTCTCCCACACTAATATAAAATCTGCGCAGTAGATCAAATTGCAACCGCTTTGCATCCAAAAATGGTTGGGCACAATGGGCACAGCCTGGCATATTTAGCATCTGGCCTGCCATTTATTCCCCTTGGTAAGGGAACAATCTCCTTCTGTCACTCCTGTGCCTTAGATCAGGCTGATCCAGTGAAGAAATCCACTCTTATGACCTCAGGATGCTCTGTTCCCACTTGCAGCAGAGGGATTCATTAAGCAGGGAGTGAAGACTGCTCTGTTTGCTATTCTGGGAACAGTCTGGTGGCAGTGATGATGCGCAGCAGTGTGAGGCAATTGGAGCTGAAGAACAGTAGGGCAGCCTACAGCAGATCCCAGCCTGTTCTCTGTGCACTGTTAGGCTGGGGGATATTGTCATAGCTTAAATAGCCTTTTGGTTGTCTTTCTCTCCTTCTCTAGTGGTCACTGCCAAAGTCCTTCTTCCTCCAGAAAAGCAGTGTTCAATCGAATGGCTTCAGCAAACTGGAACCGGACAGGCTGGGGTGAGTTTTCCCTGGCTGGGATATGCACAGTGTGGCTTTGGGACTGGTGTCCAGAGAGAACTGGAAACAGGAAAAGCAGCTTTGTTTCAGGGGACAGAGAAAGTGATTTGCTTATAGGCTCTGAGGCCAGCATCTCATTTATGGAGAGCAACTGGTAGGGTTCGTGTAATGTCTACGAGACTGGGCTTGTCTCCTTGGCACTGTATGCCCTGCTCAGTTGGTGCAAGGCTCCAAAACAGCTGGTGTGGGTGTTGTCTGGCAAATGGCTGTTGGGGTCCAGGAGTGCTGACAAAACGTGTCCCACAGGGACCTGCACCACCTTGATGGAGAGCAGAGGCTCTGCCCCAATGTAGGGCTGGGGGAGCAGCAAGGTTTGCGGGGCTGCTGTGCTCTGCCAGCTTCACTGAATGAAGTTGGGCTGAAGTTGGGTGGGTGCCACTGGCCTGGGCAGCTTGATACATGACTGTGGTTCCTCTGAGTGAGCCAAGTGGAGTGCAGGCATACACCTGGCCTCTGGAGTTAAGGGAGAAGAGATCTTGTGCCCAGACCAGAATGTCATTGGGTTTTCATGCAGTCGGAAAGGCCAACCCCTGACCCTAATATTTCTCTTGCAGCAACCTCATCTCACCAAACAGTGGAGATCTTGTGAGATGCCTGGAGCCCAGCCCTGCTCAGAGCTTACCTCTCAACAAATGCAGTGTTGGAGCTGACCAGAAACCTGGTGGCTGCCTCTCAGACACTGCCCTGGTGCTGTGAGCAGGCAGCTGCCTTCCCTCCCTGGGGGCACCTCAACCTACCTCAAAGGAAGAGACAGAAGCTGGCTCTGGAGCACAAGTACAAGTCCTGTGAAGCTCCCTGCACTGCGCACTTTCCAGTTGGTTGTTCCTGGAGAGAGCTGTGTGACTCAGTTTTTAAAACAAATGGCAAAACCTGGCCAAGTTGGGTTTGTGGCTGTTGTTCAAGCCTGATGTGATGATGGTTTCCTTATGTAGGATCTGGCTGAGTTGGGCGTCGCCTCCCTCTCTCCTTTCCTCACCAGTATGGGTTGAACCCCTCCTTGCCTGTGTCGCTTTGCACTAACCCTGAGCTCCAGAGAGCCAGCGAAGTTGTCTGCTCCCCTCTCACTGCAGGCCAAGGCAGGGGAGGGCCAGCTAACACTCTGCTCTTTTGGAAGGAGCAGGGCTTGGGCCTTCCAGCCCGTGGGTTTTTATCCTATCTGAGTACTTGTGCCCGCATCCTCTGGTTTCTGCCCACTGCTGCCCCAAGCCCTGGCCTGGCTCCCAGCTGCAGTGGGGCCGGGGAGGGAGCAGCCCCTCACTGCTGTTGGCTCTGTGGTACCCTGCAGTGTGCACACTGGGGACTGCAGATGGGTGCTGCTCTCCTGCTCTCTATTTTTCCCTTCATTTCTGAAGAATTTCCATTAAACTTTTCCACATGGCTGCTCTTGTGCCCTCTCTGTCTGATCACACCTGGTGGCCCCTTCTGTGGTGAAGGCACAGTGGGTGCTTGGCTGGGGCGCTATGGGGCTGGGGCTTGCAGAAAGCCCTTTCCTCTGCTTTCCCTGCAGCCCCCCATGCCTGCAGCAGGCCCTGTTTTCTGGTCTCCTTGGTGACAATCTCATCGCTCCTCGGCTTCTCTCCAGCACCTGAAAATAGCCACCGAAAGTGGAGATGCCTGCTGCCAGCACCGCCGCCGTGGCCAGGCTGGAGCCAGGCTGACCCGCTCGGGGCTGGACGCTTACATCTGCAGGCCAGTATCACACGGTAGTGAGGCAGCCTGGGGGAACCCTTGTGTCACCTCAACACCACTGGCTCGTGCCAGCCTCCATTCTCTTACCTCCTCTGTTTCTCCCTGTCTTTGGGTAATGCCTTTGCTATAGCTCTTGGTGTAGTTCTTTTTGCTCCTTGCAACCCATACAACGTGCACGGGGATTTTGCGGCCGCCCCTGCATCCCATGGGTATTTTGGGAAGCTGTTGACTGATTTAAAATCATCTGCCTGGCACCCGTGTGGGGGCCCATGGCCCTGCTCCCTGCTTTGACCAGGGTCCAGCTGTCCCCTGGGGTGAGTTGGAGCCTCCCTGTACCTATGGCCGGCCATGGGTCTGCTCGCCCACGGCTGCTCTGGGGCTGGCCCGGCAGTGGGCCAGGGCGATATTTGAACCTTCCTGAAATAGAAACGGAGCTGGGAGCAAGCGTGGGGTGGGAGGGGGTGGCCCAGTGGGGTAAGGGAAGAGGGCTGGGGACATGAGATCTGGGGGCTGGGAAGAGGCTGGATGGCAGCAGCACCCCAGGATGGGCCGTGGCATGGGGACAGAGTGCCCAGCTAAGCTGTCCCTGTGTCCCACATTGTGCTGGCTGTCACTGGGGCCACTTATCCAACATCCTGCGGTACGTGTGGTGCTGTACCACTGCTCCTGCTGCAGCAGCCACATCCTGGTGGTGTTGAGTCGTGCTCTGGGTAAAAAAGTTGGGGGGCTGTGGATAGCTTTTCCTCCTCTGGCTATCCATCCATCCCCTGTGTCCCCAGGTGCAGCAGGTGCTGCAGACTGAGATGACGGGGTGACGCTATGGGTGCTGCCTGGTGGCAGTGCCCCCCCCTCGCCGTTGGAGGGGGCATGGCTGGCATTGCTGAGTGACACCCTATCTGCCAGGCCCCGGCCAGCCGCGGGCCCAGAATAGCAGCGCTGCCCTGCAGTCAGCATGGAGCAACTCTCCAGCCCTGCCGCTCCCCAGGTACCCTCAGGACGGGTGGGGGGCCAGGCTCGGTAACCCCCACTTGGGACCAGCCATGCCGGGTGGGGGGTTGGTGGCACCTGTTCTGTGGCTGGATTGGTGTGGGGACAAAGACACAGGGCACAGCACAAACCTGCCTGCCCCCACTGTCCCCAGCTGCTGGAGAATTACTGGGGTGGGGGGCATTTGTGTAAGGTCACGTCCCTGCCAGGGCAGCTCTGGCCTCCTTAGAGAGCAATCCATGTGGCTTTGTTGTTGTAGGGTGGCATGTAAACATTGGCTCTGCTGGCAGCTCTGCCCATGGTTCATGCTGCTTTGTTATGGTAGGGTCGTCTGGGGGACTGATGGGGGCACGGGGCCAACCGGCTTGTTCTGATTGTACCCCCTCCTGCCTGGGCTCCCCCTTTGTTATTGTAGGCTCTCCCAGCGTGAGGCTGGGCATACCTAGACCCGTGTGGCAGGTGGTGCTGGCAGGACTCTCAGCATCAGAGGAAGCTGAAGTGGGATTTACACCTTGGGGACTAGGGGAGGGAGAGGAAGGGCACGGGGTTGCCTCAGCTCGGACAGTGAAGGGAGCATTGTGTGTTCTGGCATCCCATGCCCTGCACCTAGGATCCTTCAGGAGTAGACAAGCTCTGTCCCAATGGGGCCTATGCTGGCAGGGAACTCTCTGGGGGTTGCAGCCTGGGGTGGGATGAGGTGGGGGCGAGGTGGGCTAACTGCTGCTGACCCCCCCGTCTCTGCATGCCCCTGCAGATGGTGCTGCTGGATGCTGCTGCCCGCCCCATGGAGGAAGGTGGGTAGCATGCAGGGGGACAAGCAGCATATATATGGATAGCAGGTGGGGCTGGCTCACTCATGCAATGAGTGCATAAGCCCTTGGCCTGCTTGGAAAGCCCATGTCACCTCACTCAACTCCTTCCAGGCTGAACAGCTGCTGTGCTCTGCACTGCCTCTGTCCCTGCAGAGTGGGGTCTGGGGGTTCTGCTGCACTGAGACCCAGCAGCTCAGCTCATTGCTGGGGTAGGTGTGCCCACAGGGTTCCCAGAGGCACTACATCCCAGGGGAAAAGAGGAGGAGGAGGAGGAGGAAAAGCAGAAGGGCTCCGGGCCCGTCACTTTCACGCTGGGCAATGAGATCCTGGGGCTGGAACCTGACAACAATTTTCAGAGCCCTGACGCTGAGGTCTACATGCACTTCATGAGGAGTCACTGCTGCTATGATGCTGTTCCCACCAGCTGCAAGCTTGTTGTCTTTGACACCACGCTGGAGGTGAGGCCACGAGGATCACTGGGGTCAAACTGGGCAGGGGGTCCTCCGTGTCCTCCTGACGCACTCCCTTCTCTGCTGGCAGATCAAGAAAGCTTTTGTGGCACTGGTGGCCAACGGGGTGCGGGCAGCCCCACTGTGGGACAGCAAGATGCAGGCCTTTGTGGGTGAGTTCCTGGGCAGCCAGGGCAACAGAGGGACTGCTATGGGATGTGGGCAGAGTGGGCAGCCCCATGTCTCTGCAGGGATGCTCACCATCACTGACTTCATCAATATCCTGCACCGCTACTACCGCTCGCCCCTGGTGAGTGCCCCAGACTGTGATGGGCATGATTCTGCCCTCAGGGTGATGGGAGGAATGTGGGGGAACGAGGCAGCCCTTAGCCATGCCACCCTGAGTAGGGCATCATCTTGCCCTCAGGTCCAGATCTACGAGGTGGAGGAGCACAAGATTGAGACGTGGAGAGGTAGAAGCTGGAGGTGACGGGGGGTGTCTGGGCTGGGGACATCCGTCATGTTCAGCGTGGGGGTGGCTCTAGGAGTGTGGGACACCACTTGCAGCTCTCTCCCTTTGCAGAGGTGTACTTGCAGGGCTCCTTCAAGCCGCTTGTCTACATCTCCCCAAGCGATAGGTGAGCTCCTGCCTAGGGGGGAGATCTGGCAAGATCCCCACCTGGGGGTGGGCACCAACTCAGGGCACTGGGGCGCTTCTGGGCACAGCCACATCCCCCCACCTGCAGCCTCTTCGATGCCGTCTACTCCTTGATCAAGCACAAGATCCATCGCCTGCCAGTCATTGAGCCCATCTCAGGCAACGTGCTGCACATCCTCACCCACAAGCGCATCCTCAAGTTCCTCCACATCTTCGTGAGTATGAGGTGGAATGGAGATGGAGCAGTCTGTCGCTGCAGGGTAGGGTATGTGCACAGTGTGTGCTCACGTGCACTGCCTGCTCCAGGGCTCCACCATCCCCAAGCCGCGCTTCCTAAAGAAAACAGTGCAGGAGCTGTGTGTCGGCACCTTCCGTGACGTGGCTGTCGTACCTGAGAATGCTCCTGTGTATGCTGCTCTGGAGATATTTGTGGACCGCCGTGTCTCTGCGCTGCCTGTTGTTAATGCTACAGGTATCCTGTAGCTCCTACCCTATGCCCGCCTCAACATCCTCTCCTGCCATCCCCTCCTCACCCTCTCCTCTGTCTCCTTGCAGGTCAAGTGGTTGGGCTCTACTCCAGGTTTGATGTCATTGTGAGTATTGAGCATGTTGGCGTGGCCATGGTAGCAGTGGGAGCACATCCTGAGCATCATCATTCCTCCCAGCATCTGGCAGCACAGAAGACATACAACAACCTGGACATCAGCGTGGGGGAGGCGCTGCGGCAGCGCACCGTATGCCTGGAGGGCGTCCTCACCTGCTACCCCCATGAAACCATGGAGGACATCATCGACCGCATCACCGAGGAGCAGGTGAGTGGCAGGAGCACATCCTTTCCATTCATCTGTGCTATTCCCTGCTCGCTGCCCACCTGTGATACTCTGCACCCACAGGTCCATCGCCTGGTTCTGGTGGACGAGAACCGGTACCCGCGGGGCATCGTCTCCCTCTCTGACATCCTCCAGGCCTTGGTGCTCACTCCCGCAGGTATCGATGCTCTTAACTCTTAGCCCACGACGCTCCATCTTTCTCCATTCGCACCCTCCATTTCTCTCCACTTCAGGTAGGCGCTGCCCCTCTGCCACTGCAGAGCTGGCCAGGGAGGGGGGATCTGGGAGCACTGGGGGTGCCCAGGTGGTGACACAAGGCGATGGCAGTCCCAGGGTCTCTAGGTGGGATGCAGGTTGCACAGTTCTTAGGGCTGGGTGATGGTTTTGGGGACATGATGCAGCCCAAGACAAAACTTAACCTTTTGGCATCGCTTCCTGGTCTTCATGTCCACCTGGTCCCCAACAGTGCCCCGTGCATAAGGTGTCAGGGCTGCATTAAGCAGGCATGGGACCTGCACGATGCCCACATGGGTGGCAGTGCCAGGGGGAGACCAGCAGTATATCCCCCTCCAGACCAACCCCATCTCCTTCACCAGTGCTTGTACACGAGTCCGGGATGAAGGTTGTCCCTGTGCTCTGTGTCCCGCAGCTGCAGGGTGGGATGCAGTGCTATGCTGCAGGGTGCCCAGCCCTGTGTGGTGCCCACAGGGGGGTTATGGCCTCGCACACTCTCTCGCCCTGCAGGCATTGATCGACACTCGCTCTGAGGACACCAGGGAAGTGCCACAGGCTCATCCAACGCGGGGCCTCTTGCTCGGGTACCGCAGGGCCGTGGAAGGAGGCTTGGGGCCCAGGGGCTCTCCATGGGGTGGGGCTGCCCACCTACCCTGGCCCTGGGATTCACTCTGAGCCTGGGGCCAACTCCTGCCAACCTTGGGAGGAACAGAGCGGGGGAAAAAGGGTCCAAGCGTGCCTCCAGACTGCGAGCACACAGGGATGCTCAGTAGGCACCGTGCCACCAGGAGCTGTGCAGCTGGACACAGGAACACCTGCATGGCCCTGGGGGACCTGCAACATCCCCCCCTCCCAGCGACTGCTGTCCCCTCCTGCTGTGAGACCCCAGTGTTTCAGGTCCCACTGGTTGTGCCGGGTGCCTGGGAGGAGCGCATGGCTCAGCTGCACGCACAGGCTTGTTTTTTGTAGGGTCTCCAGGGCTGAGCGCTCTGGTAGAGGTGCTCACAGGGGGACCCTGTACACTGATAGGGGGATGGGGGGTAATTTATTTATTTGCCAGTCCCTTCATCCTTGCTGGAATAAAGCAGCCTACCCTAGGCACCGTGTTGTGGCCTTTCTGGGCATGCAGCCTGGCACAGCTCTTTGGGATAAGGCTGGGGATGGGGTGGCCCACCTCAGCGTAGCCAGAAGGATGGGGATGTTGGCTTACAGTGGGGTGTGCAGCTCAATGGCTCCACTGGGGCTGAGGTGACTCTTGAGCCCATTCTTCCTCCCACTACTTTGCCCCTGCCCCCATAACCGCACTCCTGGGGAAGGACAGCTGACGGCAGAAGATCCCCTGTGCTCTGTAGTCCTGGTGCTGCCAGGAGACAGGGTGCCAGCACCCATCCCTGTAGGGTCACCTGACTCCATCCCTTGGGACCACACACAAACCCTAAAACCCCATCGCTCAACCCCAAACCCTGCTGGCAGCTTAGCCCTGCAGTGCGAGGAAGGGGGAAACTGAGGCACGGAGAAGGGGCTGGGGCCAAGGTCAGTTATTCAGGCAGGACCCCAGGCACAGCTCCACACGCAGCGGCACAATCACGGGACGAAGAACACCCACCAATGGCTGCAAACCCCTCCCTGTGCCCCCTGGTTCCTGTGCACGGGGCAGATGGGGGCACTCCCGGTGGCATGTGAAAGGCACAACGATGCCCTGAGCTCAGGGGGCCCCCGGGCGAGCGATGAACTCCAGGTTGATGGGCTTGTCAGCCACCAGGACGATGCGGGACACAGATGTCACCTCCACGCCACGGGGGTCTGGCCGCACCTCGAAGGCTTGGATGATCTGTTGGGACAGACAGAGGGGCAGCAGTGCCTCAGGACCAAACCAGACCAGCATAGCTCATGGTGAGCTTCCCAGGATGGGAGACCCCACTCACCCTGGCGAGGGCCAGGTGCATCTCCAGCTCAGCGATGCGGCGACCAACGCAGGCACGGACCCCATAGCCAAAAGGGATGGAGCTGAAGGGGTGGTGGGGCGAACCGTGTCCCCGGAGCCAGCGCTGGGGCAGGAAGCGCTCCGGCTCAGGAAAGTAGGTCTCGTCATGGGACATGGCATAGTGTGCCAGGACGAAGAGGGTCTGTGGGGTGAGAAGGGGTTAATGCCCTTGGATGCAGTGGGTTACCCCCAGCACAGCCCCCACTCACATTCTTGGGGAAGAGGTAGTCTCCGATGATGATGTCCTTCTCATAGAAGACCCTGGCATTGGTGGGCACCACGGGGTACACCCTGAGCCAGGACAGGGGGAGAGGCATTGTGGGAGATTAACATCTCTTGCTGCTCAGTGGCTCCATCTCCCTCTCCCGGGAGGAGATGGGTGGCTGAATGTGACCCCAAGGGGCTGTAAGCCAGCTCTACACCCTGGCCAATGCTCCCATGTCCCACTCCATGAGTCCCCTGCTAAGCACGTGCTCTCATGCGGGGGAACAGGCTGTGCCAATCCAACTACTCACCCCACCCCAAGAGGGAACAGGGGCTATACCTCAGCGTCTCCTTGATAACAGCCCGGAGCATCGGCATCTTGGGGATATCCTCAGCACCAGGAAACCGGTCTGGGGGCACGACGGCTTTCAGCTCCTGATACAGGGTCTCCTGGATGCCCAAGTCTCGGGAGAGGTGGTAGAGAGCCCAGCACAACGTGTTGGAGGTCTGGGGGTGCAGAGGGAAAACAGGAGTGAGAAGCAGTGAGAATGGGGAAAGTGAGGCATGAAACAGACAGGTTGGCAGAGGGGGTTATGGGGTCTCCACTGACTACTTCCCTGCCCATGCCCCTAGCGCTGAGACTGGGGCGTTCTGGGGACGCCCCGGTGGCCCTCACCGTGTCCACGCCAGCCAGCAGCAGCTCGGCCACACTGCCATACACCTCGTCCAGGCTGAGGTGGCCACTGGCCAGCAAGTAGCTCAGATAGCCCTGAGACACCTCCATGCCCTTCTCCACGTGCCCCTCCAGCTCCTTCATCTTCCGATCGATCAGCCTCTTGCCTGCAGGGATGGACACCCGATGCTGACATAGCAGGTGGTGAGCCCCAGGTGGCCAAAATCGCTGCTCCCCATTCAGGATCACAGGGGTCCAATCCCATCTCCGTGGCTCACCAAAGGCAAAGATGGTGTCCCAGCTGTCCAGGTAGCGGTCCCAGAAGGGCAGCACCTTGCGGCTCCAGCGGGGCAGGACAGTGGCAAAGATAGAGTTCTTGAACATGAGGTTGATGGAATCAATGAAGTGCTGGGTCTCGGCGGGGACCTGCTGCTTCAGGCACCCAATGCGGGTCTCGAAAAGGATATAGGAGATCCCTGCGGGGGACAGGCGGCATCCAGAGCCCCGCGGGGATGGGGGGAGCGGAGTGGGGCTGAGGCCCCCCTACCTTCCAGGGCGAAGCGGTACAGCAGGTTGGCCACATCCCCCACCAGCACCCCTGAGGGGCTGCGGCTCCGCTCGTCCCGCAGCCGCACCATCAGGTCAGACACCACTTCACCGATGGCATCCGCGTACAGCACCGCCTCCGAGGGCTTCAGCAGCCGCTTGTTGAGGACCTGCCGCAGGCGGTACCAGCGCTCCCCTTCCCTGCGTGGGGATGGGACTCGGTGCATCCCCAATCCATGGGAGCATCCTGCACCACGCCACCCCGATCCCTGGCAACCTGTCCACCCACTGTGGCTCTGGGCAGAAGGAGCAAAGGGAGCTCCTTACATCCGCATCCCTACATCACTGTGGGGCCGGACTCACTCAGTGAAGGGTCCGTAGGGCAGGCGTCGCGTGTCCCGGTGCTCCTTCCATAGGGCCATGTCGCTCCGCATTGGGTACTTGCCCTCCTGCCGCAGCAGCTGCTCCAGCACCACCGGGCTCCCGATGTTGATGTTCTGGTAGTGTCCAAAGGTTGACCTCCAGATGGGGCCATAGATGCGCCGGGACATTAGCTGCAATGTACGCGCAGGACAAGGTAGGGTGCATAGTACATCAGGGCAGGGGGTAGCACTCAGCACTGAGCACAGACTGGTGCATGGCACAGAGCGGTGCATCCATCGTCCACCCCAGAGTGCATGGAGAGCCTTGGCAAGACCCAGAGAGGACAGCAAGGACAGGAACAACTGCCATGCACAGGGCAGGAAGATGCAGGCCCATTGTGGTGGCTGTCAGCAGATCCACAGAATCACCCAATCCCCACTCTTCTAAACCCAAGGACAGCCCTTGAACCCACCACCGATAAGGGTGGTTAATGATCAGCGCTGTGCACAGCGCTGGGGCCACACAAGGCCTTGGGGACATACCATCCAGGGAACACCCACCAGCCCTGGTCCTTCTCTGGGCTCAGAGTTCTGCTGTGCTCATAGCCTAACTCTAACCCTAATCCCACACCCACCAAAGCCATGGCCCTCTCAGAGCACCACTACCCCAGGCACTCTGGGGTCAGCTGAGCACCCCCTTGCCATCCACAGGGACATTTCCAGGGGGTGTTTGACGCCTTGCTGGGTACCAAGAGCCCCTCTGGAGCTGGGCTGAGCCTGGGGAGCTGTGAGCACCCTACAGGAAAGCCCCAGTCCCCATTCCCCTGGCTGCTGGGATGCACGTGGTACAATCTCCCTTGGTGACTGCGTTGCAGCCTGAGCCCAGATTCATCTGGATTCGTCACCACCAGGAGACAGACGTTCCTCGTGCGTGGTGGCAGCAGGAGGGGGAGGGACGGCTGCCCCAGTGCTGCAGGCAGCATCCCAGGAAGAGGGGCCTGAGAGTTAGGGTCACACAGACTGTGGGTTAGGATCAAAGCCTCTCTGCCATCGGGTGCTCACAGCCATAACCCAACACAACGCAGGCCTTGTGCAGCAGGGCAGGGAGAAGCTGCTGGGATCCAAGGAAGGCATCTCCAGACCTGTTTGTAAAGCTGGGCCTTGCTTGGAGCCCTGTGGAGCAGCAGGGACCCGTGCTTTCTCCCTGACCCCTGCTGCCCTGTGACAGTCCCTTCACCAACAGCAGTGCCAGCTGCTTGGTGGTGTAGGGAGGCTCCATTCTGCACTCCTCCTGTTCCCATCCTGCACTCAGCTCCCGGACATGGCAGGTCGGAGCTCCTGGCTGCTGGAGGATTGGATGCCGCTTGGCTCACGGCCAGCCAAGCCCATGGCTTGCTTCATCTGATGTATGAGGAAATGTTCGGAGAAGGAAACAAACACCTCTGCCTGTTTCTATCCTGCCTTCCCAGGCACCACCTGCCCCACATCTAACCCCAGTGCTACTGGCTTGGGGTGCCAGGACCCTGCACACAGCCCCCAGACCATCGGGGACCGTTGCCGTGCCCAGCTCAGGCACTGAGGGCAGCTGGAGACACACTTCGGTGTCCCGCTCTGTGCATCACCCCAGGGGTAGCGGGGTGCACCTTCCCCCAACGCTGCCCACCCCCATCTCCCCGCAGTCACTCAGTGCTCACCCCACGCCGGTCCCCGGCACACCTCTGCCGCAACATCACTCCCCACCGCGCCCCCAGAGCATCCCCTCGTCTCCACACCCCCCGGGACCCCCCGGGCACCTGGAGGCGGTGCGTATGCAGCAGGTAGCCGCGCAGGAAGAGCCAGACGAAAGTCCTGAGCAGCCCCGGCCCCGGCAGCTCCGCCGGTCCCTTCAGCCGCGCCGGCCCCGCCGCCGCCGCCGCCGAACTGCCGGTCCTGTACGGCGGCCCAGGGCAGATCGGCGGCGGCGGGCGGAGGCGTAGGGGCAGCAGCAGCCGCCGAGCCCCGCCGCTCGGGCCCGCCATGCTCCGTCGGCAGCGCACGGGACGGGGCGGCGCGGAGCGGTGCAGGAGGCGGCACCGGGGGCGGTGCGGGGGGCGGTGAGGAGGCGGCACCGGAGCTGGGAAGCGGGCGCCGAGAGCCGGGCAGGGGCAACGCGAACCGAGTGCCGGGTACCGGGAAATGCACGGAGGGTACCGGGTGCGGTGTGCGCCTCGTTCAGCAGGCAACGGGCACTACGTGATGGTTGCTGCGCACCGAACGCCGTGCGGCAAACACTGAGTGCAGCGCACTGATTGGGATGGCTGCTCCTCCTGGCCTGCCCTGTCCTTG